TACCATTTGCAACCTTCCCAGGCAGCTAAGCAAATTCAAGGAAGGAAGCTGCATAATTCACTTATCAATCATACCCTCCCCAAAAAAAGACCGTAAAATGGGGCAAGACTCATTTAACAACCGCCTTGCTTAGAGTGGAAATTCTGGTCCCAACTGGGGACCTGTATTTGTACATGGACCCCAGCAAACTGCCTGGATTTTTCCATTTCACAGGCACCGTAGTACTAAATACAACCGTCTTTCCTGTAAAGTGAAATTATCCACAGGTGTACCACTGTAAATATAGTGGGGCTGTGCTAATTCTTTACCAAAGGTGCTTTAGGATATGAGAGAGCTGGAATGAAGGATCACTTTTGGACCTTTTAAGATAGCTGCGTCTTTTAAGTAGCTGCTTTGAAAACAAGCCCTCCCCCCACCCTCCTTTGGTGCCTCTCGCCCTGCTCCTATCGATTCGAACAGAAAGGTGTTCCAGGCTCTCCTGTGCCTTTTGAAGCATTACCGTACAGTAGGCGGCCTTTGAATACCAGCCATCTTAATTCCGCAGCTCAACTTGTGACAGCCAACATTTCAGCGCTTCTGAACAGTGACTGTATAAAGAATTGGTTGAGTTTAGCATTTTGTTTCTTCTTTTAAGCATGACCTGGGTGACTTTTTAAACTGCAGGCATCCGCATAAATTTCCTCAACCCAACCCAGACTTTTAAGGAGTACTTTAGCTATTCTTTCAAAAAAAAAAAAAGAATTAATTGTGAAATTGACTATCAGATCAGGAATCTTTTTGTTAGGGACAAAATGGGCAACCTAGCATGGCATAAGCTATAAAAACAAACAAAACAAACTCCCCAAGTCCCATTCAAGCTTATTTCACTTATTACGTCAAAACTGCTTCTCATTTCACCTCTTCTTCCAGTGTAACTGCCCAAGTCTTTTGCAATGTGCAGAAACAGCCTGTGTGTAAAGGTGGCTTTGTGCAATTTAATAGTGGGAGAACTTGCCCTCCCCCCCTACAGTTGTGGTACTACAATGCCTAGCATCCTTTACCACTAGCTGCAGGGTTGGGCATGCTGGCTGTTCAGCATCACCCAGAAAATCATAGGATGGCAATGCTTCATTAGACCAATGAGCCCAAGTCCATCCTTTGCTTAAGGTATATCCAAATTAAATGACACCCCCCCCCCCCACAAAAAAAGATATAGCTGGTGGAGGCAAATCCAACTCTGTTCCATAACTTTTGAACTGCTCTTAACTAGTTAGGAAATTTTGCCTAATTCTGAGCTGCCATCTGCCTTCCTTTGCTGACAAACCACTAATAACTCTGAGAACTGACCACACTGTACATTTCATTTCAGATTCGGGGGGAGAACACCCCCCCAAAGGGGGGTCAGTCCTATTTTTGCTCTCTTCTAGGTCAATCTCTTCCTTTCGATTCTCCAACCTCTTTATACAATTCAAAAATTGCCTGGAGAGATGGAAATTAATTTCAGTAGTTTGAACATTGATTGAATTTGTATATTTATTGAAGGACACTCGGAAGAGAATGCTGGAATTTTTAAATCTCTGCAACAAACGTTTACCGGATTCTTTTTATTTTTCATATGTCTTATCCTTTGATTTAATGGCTGATGTGCAATGCTGAGTTTATAGCGCTATAAAAAAAAAACAAAAAACAAAGTAACCGCAAATGGAGAAAGCATTATGGGACTGTATGATTACTTACAGGGAAAGATAACCCAATGCTTTTCCTGGCTGCTTAGAAATATAAATTCAGCTGGGGCAGCCGCTTCATCTAGGTGACTTAACCTCACTTGGCAGGCTTCCCAATTCTATGCAACTCTTAATACCAAAGTCCTAGCCATTTTTCAGAAGAAACTGCGTGACAAGGGACATTAAAAAGCAAATTTAGTGGCCTATTTTAAAAAGGTCTTGTTCTTAGTTGCGGCCAAGAACTCTTGATTTATTTACAGGAGTACGTAAATCGGCCCCTTTCTGAACATCCATCTGTGATGATCACCTCAGACAATCAGCTCTCATGAAGCATGAGAAAGAAGAAAGAGCAGAAATGATGAAAGACACTCAAGTTTATTTTCTTTTTCTGCCTCTGATGATTCTTGGAGATGACCATAGGTTTGCCTTCAACAGAGGGGGAGGGGGGGAGAAGCTTTTTTGTTGTTGTTATGGCATCCTTTAGAGGTAACCAAAAAGCAAAACTTGGAAAGGGTTTTTATCCCCTGGTCCCAAGGCTGCTGAAAAAAAATTCAACTATGAGACCACAATATATTCAGGATTTCGGTCCAGGCCTTTTTTGCGATGGATTTGCAAAACCCATGAAAGAAGGCAAAATGAACACAACAGATACATTTAAGGGGCAGTAAGATAGCCTAGTGAAGAAGAAAGCAAGCCACCCAAGCAAAAGGGCACTCCCAATTTATGACTCAGTAATGAAAGCCAGTGTCCCACTCTTAAGATCACCAAGATGCGGTTTCACAGAGCAAACATTTTTGTGTCCTGCTTATCAGCTACGGGAGCAACAGCAACGGTCTTTCAAAAGATCGTGATCGGTCTTTCAAAAGATCGTGATATAGTGATCGTGGGGTTTTTCGCTGCACGGTTTTTCCTGATAAGGGACGGTGGCGAAGGGGCGGGGGGGCAATATGGACCCAAGCTGCTGCAATCATCCTTCTAAGTGTAACCACACCGTTTTCCCCTTCTCCACCCCCTCCGATAAATAGGATGTCGGCTCTGTTTTGCATCATGTGGCTTCAGTTTTCCTCTAGCCCAATGTGTGCTTTTTAAAGGATGCACAGGAGAGCCAATTGGCTTGATTTCCATGGATTAAAGAATGAATGTGCACTTAGTCAAGCTTGGTTGGAGGCCAACCTAGCTGCAGACGTTGGCGAGCAAGCTGCCAGAGCAAACCACCGTTTCCCCAAAGTAGGCCTGGTGTCGTTTGAAATACTTTCCCACCCATGATGCAGAACAGATAAAAGACGGAGATTTAAAAGGTGCTAACATGAGGAGAAAAAAACAACAATAGCCCACTTTGGACCAATCCATCTTTGCAAATGTTTTTCCTTTCCTTCTAGCCATCATTGTGATAGTTAATCTTGTTCTCCCTCCCACCCTCTCCACAAACGTCCTGGCCCAATGCTTACTTTTTTGGTTTTGTTTTTAAAAGAACTCATTTGCTCTCCCTTGGACCGTCCTTTGGTGTCATGTGTAAGATTTCTTCTGCAAAAAAAAGCACAGAGCGTGAGGGGAGAGGAGGAGGAGGAGGGCAAAGGCCCAGGCTGGGGCAGTAGATGCTGTGAAACAAATTCAACTTGTTTTAAGTGTACTTGTTTTGACTTAAATGTAATGTAATATATTTGTTGAATGTAGTTATTAGGTATTTATGAATATATGGCTGTAATTTCTGACAACATAAAAAAAAAGTAATAAAATGTTCCTAAATCATGACAAAGGATTATTTTCCCAGACCACCCAGCCACTGTTAAATAGAAGCTCTATCAGCCCTTTGTATTACAAATGGAGGCTTGGACGAGAGAGAGCCAATCTTCTAGCAGTTTCACTGGTGATATCACTGTAGTAACTATTTACTATGGAGTGCCTCACAACCACACTAATACTGTACTCCCTTCTGAATGAAAAGATGTGTTCACATCATCTGGGTTAAATTAGGATAGGAATCCCAGTCAGCATCCAGTCAAGTTGGATTTCAAGTAGGCTTAATATATGTGTGGAGAAATACACAAGAATGGTATATGTTTATATCTGAACAAGCATAACAATTGCTTTAATAGTTGAAGCCTTGATTCCTCACCAAAAGTTAATGTGGGCTCAGACTTAAGACCACTTAGGTTAAAGGTATATGTTGTTGTTTTAGTGTATATTAAGATTCACCTGCAAAAAATTCACAATCAAATGTAAAAATGCTCGTTTGCTGAATAAGATTAATTTACTGAAACTCTAATACGTGTTGAAAACTGAAAGTAATTAAAGAAAAAAAAGGATGTGTATGTGGCAAAAGACTTATATGAAGCTCTACTTTACAAATATTTAGCCTTCCAGTTTTTGATAAGCTTTTTCATAAACAGAGACAAGTCAGTGTTTTAAGCAATGTTCATTTTCTTGAGCACACTCTTCTGAATTTAAAATGTTCTGCAGGGCAACCAGCAGCAAGGGTCAGAGAGTTACAACTGCAGCAATGTACTGCTTTTTAAAATATTTATTTTACCATTACCTAATAGAATAGTAACTAGCAAATCCCTGTAGTTGCCCCCGCATTGTAAGTGCTGTCCACAAATATTTAAAAATTGATGGCTAACAACATGTGTTATTATGACTAACAGCGAAAATGCTTATATGATTCATATAGCTAGAATCTGGGTACTGCAAACAGCTGGTTTAGTCACAGTCTCCATGACAAGCATTTAAAAGAAAAATGGAACCTAAGCCAAACTCTGTGGGTTTTGTGGCTTCGTTTCTTCATAAAGCTGTTCTTTTTCTTTTTGGCAGGCACACACACAAAAAGGCAGCATCCCTCAATGATCACATCCGTGGCCTCTGGGGGGTAAAATCCTTTATAATACGAAGGCGACGGACAGGCAGATTTTAATGAGTAACACTGCAGCGAATCCAGTGTTGGATGTAAAGTTTGAGTTGCCAGGCGCAAGTCTCTTCCCAGGCAGGCCGCTGAGAACTATGCAGTCAGAAGACGAAAATAATCTCCTTTTCCATAAAGATCACGGCCTTGAAGGAACAGCATCCATCAGAGATGCAATTGACTTGCTTCCTTCTTCCAACTTACAAACACTAGGAAAACAAGCTAGTACAAAAGCCAGGCAACTGATGCACCTTGAAAGGGCAGTCCTGCAGCACTTGGAGTGTGTTGGGCAAGAGCCTGCTTGCCAAGGAAAGTCAAAAGTCCTCCTCACCTGCCAAAGACGTCAACACTGGCAGGCTGGCTTGGGTATCGGGCTAATGATCGTTTAGCAGATCAATTTTTTTCCCCACTAGCAAATGCTATGAAGCATGTTACATCGTAATCTGCCACAGCACAGTTTTGCTCTGAAGCCAGTAACAACAGAGAGGTGGAGGCTTAAAGGAATAATTCTTCTCATGAAAATTCCCTGCGGTCAAAACTCCTGGGATTCCGCCCTCTCTCCTAGCTGGAGGTTTGATCGCAACTTGTACATGTGATCCAAAGCTTGGGTGAGGAAAGCACCAGTGGTGTTGATCTCCATCAGAGTCAGATTATCCAGCTTATTAAAAAAGAAGAAGACAACAACACAATTTGAAGAAGTATAAATGGCAGAGTTGCACCATGACTGTCCGTCAGTTCCCATGACTGACGATAAGTTAGCATCTGACAAAAACTGAAAGATAACATAGATTGCATTTCATTAAACCCTCTTCTTTAATTTTTTTGCATTTCTTCTTTAGTTTTGAAATTTCTCTATACATTTTCCTCTTTCCCAGAGCTTGAACTGATCCCAAAATGCCCCAAAACAAGACTTCTGTAAGCATAATTCATTACACTCCTTCAATTTATATTCCATGTCAGCTAAAAGAATTCGGAAGATGGTTCAACAGTTGTGATCTGCACCCATAATGAAATGTTATAATCCATTCAGTTTTAGAAAGGCAGGGAATGATGTAAGTTGCAGTCCAATATATCTGGACGTCGCATAAATGAGGAATAAAATGCATGCCCACCATTCGGATAAGTGATAATCAACTTGCAAATCTTTGACTAAAAAGTACATAGCCACAAATGTGTACTTATATTACAAAACACACACTTTCATTATGGGCATAAGTAAGAGGAATATGCATTTGGGTACACAGCCACATATACAACACAAGTCATCATTTCAGTAGGCTGCAGTGAATCCATAAGTACATACAATAGTATGTTTCCATGAATTTGGGTACAAAACTTCTCTATACCTGCAGGACTACATAGTTCTCCTATCACTGCTGTCAAGTAATAAAATTTTAGAATTGAAATACAGTAATATCACTTTCATTGTCAATTTCATTTTCACAAATATTCTTCCAATGACTTCAATCCTTTCAGAAGATTGCTCTTACCCTGGCATGAACTTCTTGCTGTCTGACAAAACTATCTGCAGATACACGAAGTTTCGCTATTCGAGTGTCCCAGATATCCTTAACCAAAGTTCTTATCTCATCAGCCTTTGGAATATTATCTGCAGCACTAATGCAGAAAAGAAATAGACTGGTGAGATTACAAAAAGGTAGGGGGGTCACACGTTATTAAAAGAGATCCTTGATGTAAACATTATTAATTAGCTTCTAAATACAAACCAAAACTGTTAAGCAATATATGTTATTACATAATTAATTATATATTATATAAAATAATAGATGCAAACAGATTAGAAAAGTGCTCTGGAGCATTTGCAGTTTGTAGAGTTGTTGCTGATTTCCAATTTCAAATCTAACGCAATCCTAGGGTTTTTTGTGCTCTGGCAGAATTAGAATTTGCTGCATTTCCAAAGAATATTATTACAAATAAGAAACCTACTCACTAGTTCAGCAGCAGTTTAGTTAATTCCATGTAAAAAGGGTTAGGCATTGGGGTGAAAGTGTCCTCTTTGCGTTCTTGATCTCGCATTTGCTCCAACTTTTCTATAAAGGAATTTAAAAAAAAAGAGCTGCAACAGAAATTTTCCAGCAGTACTTATTTTAAAATCCAGGCTAGAAACCAGGAGATGGTGAGTTCTAATCCTGCTTTAAGCATGAAAACCAGCTGGTAACTTTGGGCCAATCACGAGAAGTCTCCGAGTTCTTGTCCCACTTTAGGCATGAAGGCCAATTGGTTGATTTCAGGCCAATCACGAGGAGACAGTGAGTTCTAGTTCCGCCTTAAAAGCCTGCTGGGTGACTTTGGGCAAGAGCCTCTCAGCCCAACCCACCTCACAGGGTTGTTGTTTTGGAGAAAATAGGAAGAGGAAGGAAATTTAGGCACGTTCCACCACCTTGAGCTATTTATAACAAAAATAAAGGCAGGGTATAAATCAATAATACAATGAGAAGGATGTCTAGCCTGCTGGCTTCCTAGACAACAGCTAGAAGGGCTGAAGGAAAACTGGGCAGGGGAACATCAGTCACAGTGTCCAGGGTGCAAGGAAGCCAGCGAGTCACCCCTTACCCACGTCCATCCAGTCCGGGGGCACCAGCCGACACTTCTGCCTCTGTTTCAGGTTGACGGCCAGCCAGAGAGGCGCCTCCACAGGCAGCCCCGGGTTGAAGGGGCCCAGCTCGCCCTGCAAGAGAGAGAGAAACTCAAGAACAGGCTCCGGCCTGAAAATGGCCCACCTGCAACTCCCCCCCCCCAAAAAAAGTCTGGCCCACTTACTACTCCCCCTCCCCCCAAAAAAGTCTGGCCCACCTACAACTCCCCCCCAAAAAAGTCTGGCCCATCTACAACTCCCCCTCCTGTCAAAAGAGTCTGGCCCACTACAACTCCCCCTCCCCCCCAAAAAGTCTGGCCCACTACAACTCCTCCCCCCCCAAAAAAGTCTGACCCACCTACCAAATTCCATCAGTCCCACCAGGGTGTTTTGGCAAAGGATTGTGGGATTTATGGTCCCCCAATATTCTTCCCTTGGAAACCTATGGGGAGAGGGAAGAAGCTGCCGTAGCTGAGGATGATGGGCATGAAAATCCCTCTCTCCATAGGCATCCAAGGGAAGAATATTGGGGGAGCCACAAACCCCACCACCCCTTGCCATAACACCCTGGTGGGACTGACGGGACCCTCAATGGGTTCAATCAAAAACCCCATCATCCCCCCCAGCCATGGAAGTTGGGGCCGATGGGGATGGAACTCTCCACTCCCTCCCCCCCCGCCCCCCACAACGAAAAGGGATCATTTGCAGTAAACTTTGGGGACCACAAACCCCACAATGCCTTGCCAACATATAATCTGATGGGAGCAGCTGAGGGCACCCTAAAAGCATTAACCATAAAACCCCCATAATCCCCTACCAGCGCCTACCCGGGTCGGGGCAGAGGGCTGCCTAAACGTCTGTGACTACAACCCCCATAATCCTCAGCCACCAGCCGTCCTTGGGCTGATGGGAGATGAAACGTAGCCACCCCTCCCCGGACAAGAACGGGCATCTTGTTTTGGGACTGCAGTTCCATAACCCCCACCGGCAAGGGAATAAAGGAGCATGGGAGTTGTAGTTCCGAAGGCCTCACCCCGATGAGGTAAATCCTGTCCAGGCTGAAGTTGGGGATGATGGTGACCATCTCTCGCTCCGCCAGGAATTCGACCTCGGCGGCATCCATCAGGACGGCAGGAAGGTAAAAGCGACCGAAAAACGAAGCCGCCAAATCCGACTCGCCGTAGACTGAGGAGAAAGCCGATGGCCGCCACGGTACCGCTCACCCTGGCGATTGCGCCTGCTATTGGTTGGAAAGAGGAAGCCCCGCCTTTATTCCGTGCTTCGTCCTATGACTGCCTCGGCTTTCCTCGCGCGCGCTTTCCCCTCCTTCTGCCATTGGTTGGAAGGGAAATCAATGCCCCGCCTCCCGTTTATTTCTCAACCTATGAAAACCCCTGCTTTTTTCGCGCGCGCTCTCACTTTCCCTCCGGAGGCGGCGGTTTCTAGTCATTGAGGGAAAGCTAAGGGAAGCCCTGCCCTTTTTCTCCTACTAGCCAATGACAAGCCTCCTATCCATGTTTGTTTCTCGGGTAAACACGGACTGCTATTGGAGGGATAGAAAACAAAAATCGAGGTCCGCCCATTCATTAGCCATTCATAAACCACAGGGAGTGAAGCTTTTTGTTCCCGCCTTTTCCCGCTAACTGACAGCAGTCGCACTGTTTCCTCATTGGCTCTTCTTCTTTTCTCTGATTGGCTCTAGTCCCAGCATTAAAATTTCATTAACAAAACCCAAAGTGGGCGTGGGCATCGGTGTGGGCGGGGCCTAAAAGCTACGTTGTTTGAACAGCTGTTGCCTGGAAAAATGCGGAGCGATCTTGCATTGAAAAAAAAATGACGCTTTTTATTTGTGCAGTGGAAAAAAAAAGAGGCCAGCAATGCAAATAAAGCAACAATAATGAGTCCCCGAGAAACCCAAATGAATGGCCCACAAGAAGCACAGGTCCTCCTGCAGACATTATTTTTGGGGGGGGGGGCAATTAAAAAGGGGTTAGATATAAATCTGCGTTTTTCAAACGTGTCAACTTAAAGAAGTTTGGACTTCAGTTCCCAGAATTCCCCATTCAGCATCTTTGGGCTTTGTAGTAAATGGTAAGACCATTTTTTTTCCTCTAACAAATCTCTCTTCCAGAGGTTTGGGGAAGGGAGCTGACTACAAATCCCATCAGGCCCAGCCCAGGAGGGTAGGAAAGGCTGCATCCTGCTTTGTATTGCTGGTGTAAATACAATGTGTAAACTGGTGCTTCTCAATCTCAACAACTTTAAGATACATGGACTTAACTCCCAGAATTCCCCAGTTCAGCTCACTTTAACTTGAGCAGATGGGTGGACTCCCAGAATCCCCCAGCTAGCCATTTACTGCTAAGGCATTTTGCTTCCTGAACAAAAGAAGTATTTCCATTTCACCCTGCAGATGGGGTGGCCGGGTGAATCTTAATTCAGCGCTGGCAATATGATGGGGGGGGGTCTGCTGCATCCCCCCAAGCGTTGCCAACAAGTTTAGGGCACACACGTTTCTTCTACCTGAGCGAGGCTCATAAAACAAACACCTGTCCTTTTAAAATATTTTCGTTTTGTTTGGGTGTCTTCACATCAGTCTTGATTGCTGGCAACTGCCTGGAAAAAAAAAACCCCTCTGCACGATTTTTAGGCCAGCTTTTCAAGAGCGGCTTACCATTGCCTCCTTTCTAGGGCTGAGAGAGGGTGACTGGCCCAAGATCACCAGCTGGCTTCATGCCCAAGGCAGGACTAGAACTCCCCCCCATCTCCTAGCCCGGTGCCTTCACCACGGCACCAAGCTGTCACTCTTAACAACAGGGGCAATTCTGCCAAGGACGGGGAAAGGACCAAAAACTTTAGAGGTCTGGCGCAGAAACCACTTTCTAACCAAAACAATGAAGTGAGATGCTGTTTTCATTATTCATTAGTCTCTTGCATTGAGCAGCCCAGCACCGAAGGAGTTTGCTTGTACAAATTGCCCACGCTAGTAGCATTTTGGGCAGGGTGCCAGAGATAGTACTTGGTTGGCAGCCTTCCCGGTTAGAGCCATCAGGAGAGGGAGAGTGGGGGGGGGATTCCTTTCACCTGGTCCACCATTCTTGCCCGAGGGTTACTGAACAGCGCCTGAAAAGCACACCTTATTCACCTTTGATCTCACACCATCCAGAAAAACCCCCACCCCTCTGGAAATCCTCCCTGTGTTCCTGTCTGCAGCCCCAGCATTTTTTTTATTTCCAGCATTTGCAGCCGAGGGGAAAAAATAATAAACATAATAAACTACCCCTCGAAAACCCATCACCTGCCTTCCTCAAGGGAGCCATTGCCCGATCTTAGTGGAAGACACGAAAGCTCGCAACTGACTTTGGCACAGTGTGGATGTGCTTCCCTGCCTTTTACCATCTGCTGCTGCTGCTTTAAAAATTGCATTTCCATCTGTTTTTAAACACCGCCTCTCTCCCCTAACCCCCCCCCCCCCGCATCCTTATACCCTTTTTCCCCGGAGGGTCTTGATGTGATCTGGGCTTCAGAAGCTCAAGGCTGAGTCGTGCATCCTAGGCAGGATGGAGACCACTGGGGCCAGGTAGGACCAACCTGGCTGGAATTGGAAGGGAAAAGCTGCAGTTTTCCCAACTCACTATTGATTTGCCAAAGTATTTGTCTCCTTTGTAGGAGTATTGATATAATCCTTCCCGTCTTCTCCTCTTCCTCATCTTCTCATCTTTCCTACTACCTTCTCCTATTGGTATCTATGATTTATCACTTGTATCTTATGATTAATGATTGTAATATGATCTATGACCTATCACTCTGTTGTTGTATGTACACTGAGAGCTTATACACCGGAGACAAATACCTTGTGTGTCTAATCACACTTGGCCAATAAAGAATTCTATTCTATTTTGGTGTCTCTTCAACCTTCACACTGAGGAACCCCCAAAGCAGATCACCTGGTGCCTACAGGTTAAACCCCCCCCAATGACCTGAATGACTCTCAGATGCTAACGGCCAAATGACTACAAAGAATAGAAATCCTTCCATTCCCCATCATTCAGTCAGAACTGAAGAAGCTTCTTGGATAAGAAGCGAAACATTTTCAAGGGGGAAAAAAAACCAAGAAACACCAGTTGCCTTTAAAAAAAAACACCTTTGGGAGCCATGACCTGGGTGGTTGAGAAGCTCCATAGACATTTGTGGGTGACACCTGTGAAAAGGATGCTCCATTGTTCTATGGGAAGATCTTAGATCACTGTTTCTCAACCTTGAGAACGTGTGGACTTCAACTCCCAGGATTCCCCAGCCGGCACTTGTTGTTTGCAAAATCAAACACAAACCATTTTGGACATATAAGGAATTGGAAGTGATACTTCAGTTGGAGAGACAAGAGAGCTTTTTTCTGAATAGAATAAATGATTTAACATAAAAATCAGGTGGAAAATGTTTAATGTGGTATAATAAAACTGTGATGCTTTATAAATATTCCACCCACTCCAAAACTTGGAAAACATGACATTTGAAAGGAAAAAAAAAAAAAACCAGAACATGCCAATTCATGCTAAATCGGAAACAAAATGCTCAGTCAGACCTCGCATTCAATTAAAACATTTGCATCTCATTCGAATGAACCTGGAGGCATGAAAAAACGATTGAAAACCAAACGTCTGTTTTGCAACCATTATAAAATGGGATAAGAGGGAGAAACTGCACCCCATCTTCTTATGTAGCCGAGCTTGGGAGACTCGGGGAACAATCCTTGGGGATTTATTCCAACAATCATTCCATCTGGAATAAGTCAATCGTCTTTCATCCTGAGTGTAGAACAGCAGATGCAGGTTGAGTTGGTTTAATTGCTTGATGGCACAAAGTTGGCAAAGAGAGTTTTGATGCCTTTGATCAAGAGTAAAAATCTGGCTATGGAAAAGAACAAGTTTGTCTCCGGACAGCTGTTTGTCCGGAATGGTATAGGACCTCCTGCTCAAGCAGAGGATGGACTAGAAGACCTTCAACGTCCCTTCCAACTCTATTATTCTGTATTCAATTTTCCAAAGCGCCTGAAGGCAGGACAAGAAGCAACGGATGGAAACTAATCAAGGAGAGAAGCAACCTGGAACTAAGGAGAAGTTTCCTGGCAGGACAATCAACCAGTGGAACGGCTTCCCTCCAGAAGTTGTGGGTGCTCCAACACTGGAGGTTTTTAAGAAGACACTGGATGGCCACTTGTCTGGAAGGGTATAGGGTCTTCTGCTTGAGCAGAGGGCTGGACTAGGAAACCTCCAAGGTCCCTTCTAACTCTATCCTAGTCTGATTCTGATTCAACCAAGGATTTGATGAAGTCAGTCTGGATGGAAACCAACGGTAATTTCTTATACCCATTCAGCTTGGATACAAACATTCTATCCATAGCAAACTCACTATTTTTCTCTCTTATTGGCTGTGAATGAAGTCCATGTGACTTCTTTCCATTCAGGCATGAGGTGGCAAGGAAGACAACATTCCCTCGGAGCTCCAACAGAGAATCTTTCTGGCTGGATGAAAATCACCTTCCTTCTCCATTTTTAATGAAACCTTGTTTTGATTGGGGAAAGCGGCATCCGTTACACTACTAAATTCAAGGGTGCGTCACTGCAGATGACACAAGGGATGCAAATGGGTGCAAATCACATTTTTGTACAATGAGGTCAACCCACCTATGGAATACTATGGAGTTTCACTCATGGCAAGAGGCCTGGAAAACCGAATTTTTGGAAATTAAGGTTCCATTGCTTTCCTTATACTGTGAGTTGAGTCTGTCTTCTCCAATCTGGTATCCTTCCAATGCGTTGGACCACAGCAACCATCGCTCCCAGTCAGTATGGCTCCTGAGGGCATCAGCCTAGCATGCTTTCTTCATCTTGGCACCTTCCAGAGACACCAGGAGAAGAACAGCACCCAGAACAAAAGGAGAGGACAGATGCTAGGTTGGAGACAGTCAGATATGGCCCCTATCCTGCCCCACACCACGTGGCTTGCAAGTACAGCATCCTGATCTTGGAGGAGCTCAAACTAAGCAGAATCTCCATAACCCTCCTTGCCAACCCCACCCAATTAGCCCAATTCCTAACTGAGCTAGCAAAATTATGACAAGTCTGTTGATTCCCTACCAGGTCTACGGCTTCTTTACTCTTGGGGAAAGTTCCCCGTTTAGGGTCACGTCTTACTAAAACACATTCCCAGATTCTTCCTTAGTTGCTTCTAAGACCTAGAGACCACCTCTATCCAAAAAGAAGGATCAGGCGAGAGAACCAAGAGCACTTTTCCTCCATCCACTCAGGATCTTGGAGCAAAGCAAAGTTGGATTGTTTTGCTCAAGTAGCCTTCAGTCCCATTTTGCAGAGGGACATCTGCTGGAAGGGCTGCCCCATCCAGGTCCACTTTGAACACAGCAGAAGAAACCAATGAGAACTTAAGTGTTTTTCGGAAGAAGAGACCATCCAAATAGGAGATGGAGCAGCAGCAGCAACCCCCCCCTCCAAAAAAATTCATATGACCTCAGTCTTGTTTGCTCTTGAAACCATCACATTTCCCCTTAAATCTGCTCTTAGACACCACCAGAGGACCTGGACCTTCTGTGCAAGTCAGTGTCCTTTCTCTTCTGACAATGACCTCGGCTGGGTCCAAGTTGACCAACACCACTAACAAGAACCTGAGAGCCACCACCCATCCATTGTGCCACCATCCTAACCATTACCGTAGGTCTTCTTCCAAGTAGACAATCGGTTTGGAGGACTCCTTGAAGGACCCTTTGCCTGTTACGGGTCTGCAACAGTGCCGTGGCCGCAAGTGTGAGTGAGGTATATCTGGAGATGTTGGTCCATTTTTAAACAGCCCGGCAAGAGGAGAAGAAATGGGAGGAGTTTGCAAAACTCAGAGGCTGGGAAAGTTCCTGAGCAAGACGGTGGAGAGCCACATTCTCTAGCAATGCCAGGGAGGGCCCCTTCTCCTTGGCCTGGAGACAGCAGGCCACATCTCTGCCTTCTGGCTCAGCAGTTGTCTTGGGGTTCATCGCCCTCCAGGCTGGGGTCTCTCAAGAGGGCCTTCCCCGTGGGGGTCGGAGGGGTGATAATAATATCTGGGACCCTTAGTCTTTTCTCAGCCATGACCGCCACCTCGCTGCTGCTGACCCCAGCCCCGCTTACACACATCTTGAAGCCTGAAAGAGAGAGAAAGCAAGGATCATCCCGATGCTTCTGGTGGCACCTGGCGACAATCGAAAGAGGAAATCATTTCCCAAAGGACCCAGATGGTCCCCCCTTTGCCCTAAAAGTCACCCCAGGACCTATAATTTGATAGCCCATCCCAGAGTCTCTCTGCAGCCTGATAGAGTCCCCAACGCTTCCTTAGTCATTGCCCGTGCAGTCAAAGTGAGCTTGGAGAGCTAAGATCTGCCATGCCCAAGTGGGCAGTCTTCTCATACGGTGTGCCTTCATCATGATGTAAGGACAATTCCAGAAGATCTTTAATGAGCTGGGCATAAAAGAATATAAATTATGCAATGATATTCAACCAGAAATGATGGGCGTCCCACCTCTTTGCTAGCCACAAAGTCAAAACATGTTGTACGGGCGCCTTCTCGTGGCCATGCGAGGGATGACCGCCTCTGGACTGACCTAGCCTAATAATAGGATTAATTCAGGAGACATGACCTTTTCCTGACCCAGAGGAAACATGTCAGGAGGAATCAGGGCGAAGGGGGAGCCAGGAACCCTCCCTAGGCTCACTTGGGATGTGAGGAAGGGAAGACAAAGGCGAAGAGATCTAGCAGGTTCCATCAGCAGTGAGGGACAGGACCGTTTGGGCAGAGCAACCTTCCAAGAAGAATGCCTGTGGTTGGGATCCTGCCCAAAGAGTACCAGGTGTGCATCTTGCGGCAGCTGACCTCTTAACACAGATCTTTCCACAGACGAAAGGGGTCAACTCATGACTGAACATAACTCTGTCAAACCACTTAGTAAAGCTGCATTACTCTGATTCTCCTCGTCTTTCCTATTACCTGCCCTTATCTTCTTTTGTCTATAACTTTGTTGCTTGTACCTTACAACTTATATTGTTTTTTAGTATGCTAGTATGATTTATGTTGTTGCTCAGCTAGTATTCTATGACTATCACTACATGTTGCATCTTATGATTTGTGATGGAAGTGTTATATTTTATGATTTATGATGAGTGTATTGTTACCTTGTTTATAATCATGTTTTATCATGATTACTTGTAGGAACACTGAGAGTTTCTGCACCGGAGACAAATTCCTTGTGTGTCCAACCAGACTTGGCCAATAAAGAATTCTGTTCTGTTCTATTCTATTCTATTCTGTTCTATTCTATTCTAATTGTTATCCTGTCCTATCCTATCCTATCCTGAATAGGAGTGAAGCAGGCAGAAAAACAAGAGATTAATATTAAACTAAGAATAAACCAGTCTGCTTTCCCTTGGAGGTCTTATATTTGAAGCCATGTGTTTAGACTTGGCCACCTAGTCCCTGAGTTGTGCTGTCACTGGAGGGATTTGCACAAGAGAACAGCTGCCCCGTTGCACAAGTCCCCACTTCAGCGGCGCTTTGACAGGAGAGCCTGCGTCACTCAAGACGTACTTCGCAACCTCTCTCCCTTCCCGGCTTGCCATATAATGATATTTAAGCAGAACAGGCTCAACAGGCTATTAACAAGAGAACTGTTTGTTTGGAGATCAATACGAGGTCTTGCTCTCCAGCTGGTGGATAAACCTGCATTAGGGGCCCGAAGCCAAAATCTTTAGTGCCCCCAACGGATGTAATTTACAAATGCATTTGCAGGCAGCCCAGAGCAAGCCCCTGGCCTTTTACGCATAAAGGGCTGGGCTTGGTCCCTGCTACGTTCACGAGGCAGGGCGACTGCTGGAGCCACGTCAGCAAACCTTGTGGATAGCACTTAATGGCTTTAGGACTTGGGTTGATGATGCAAAGGGTGGGAGGGAGGGGTCAGGCCTTCTCAATCCCCCTGCTTCCCATGCCTTGAAGCTGGTTTAGGTTTGAAGTCGAGCCTTCCAGGCCGCCTTTTGATGGGGGTATCTTTCTTTCCTCAAAGTGAAAAATGAAATGGTGTCACTAATTATCAGGGGTTGGGGCAAAGGGCGGGGGTTAGAAAATTCAAATTATTATCCCTTTTAAGCCATCAAGGCACATGCTGCAGAGGAGCACTTGGTAAAGCACCATCCAGGCATTTGAACAGATATTCCGGTGCTATGATGGACCAAGATCAGAACTGTGCAAAGGAAGTTGGGCTTTGAAGAAGCCAGGATAGGAAGAGCATTGGCTCTTTGGAAACTTGGTTTTGGAGAAAACCACGGACAGTCAAGGAAACTAAGGAAAGAATCATCAAGGAAATGAACTCAACATTCTCACTGAAAGATCAAAAGACCAGGCTCAGACATGTTATGGGAAGACCCAGCTCTCTAAATCATAATAACAAGCACAATCAAAGGGAGGGGAGGGAAGGGGTGAAGAGAGAGAGAGAGAGAGAGAGAGAGAGAGAGAGAAGGAAAGGAAGGAAGGAAAGAAGGAAAAGAAAGAAGAAAGAAAGAAAGAAAGAAGGAAAAGAAAGAAAGAAAGAAAGAAAGAAAGAAGGAAAAGAAGGAAGGAAGAAAAGAAGGAAGGGAAAGAAACTTCAGTTCTAGCACTGAAAAGGAAACACATTGGTTAGATGAGTTCATTTTTCTTCCAGCAGTTAAAATTTGTTTTGGGTGATATCAACATGCAAAGAAATGAGCAGCATCTGCAGGAAGTGGTCGAAAAGTCAGGCTGGTCACTGTGATGGAAACAACTGAAGCTTCACCTGTTGTTCAGGTGCCTCAGCCAAGGTCAGCCAAGCTCTGCCATCTGCTATGGCTAAAAGTCAAATCTATTTCCTGCAGGCTAAGCTTAATTCCTGGCCACTTCATGAACCTGCCCATGTGTTTTGCTCCACAGAGTTTCTGGACAGCCGACAGCCCTGGCCTTCCCACCCGAGGACAAAGCAGATCTGATCCTGGTTAGTTTCTTTAATCTGCCAATCTCAACCAGGTGCTGCTGTGGTTTCACTGGCTGGATGTACAGAGCTATCCTGGCTGCCTGTTCTGAATGAAGTGTCTTAAAAAGCAAACTTTGGGAGAAACAAAAGGCTCAGAATGGAATTTCCTGGGGCAACGGACATAATATGCAGTGTAGGGAGCATTTGCCAAGGAGGCAGAAGTTCCCCAGGGATGCATATCTTGATTGCTGCACCTGTTGGCTCTCTACCTGCCCCAGAGCAGATCCTTCTGTGGAAGAGACACATTCCTCTGTGTGGCAGCTTTGAAACCCAACTGTCATCCCAAAGGGGGCATGAATTATCTATGGTGCACAGAACGGTCCTGTAGCCGCAGCATGGCTCTCTGGGATGCGGGGAGCCAGTCTGCTCCTCCCCCCATTCCTCCTCCCCCCCATCCCTCCCCCCATGCAAGAAGACCTCCCTGGGAAGGGGAATCAGCAGGCGCCAGGCCTTTAACGCTGCATTAAAGCTGACAGCACCTGCTGGCACCGGGGCTACGCAGCAGTGAAAAGCTAATGGGCAATGCAATATTTAGCATTTGTCCCAATTACCCAGCGAGAGAACGGAGCACATTGAAAAGAGGGGGGGAGGAGGAGGAGAAGGAGAGGAAGGGGAAGAAGAACCTTATGAATGGAGTTTCAAGAAGAAGAAAAGGAGGGGGCAGTGGAAGAAATGGAGAAGAAGGAGAAGAAATAAGAGAAGGAGAAGAGGGAGGAGGAGGAGAGGAAGGAATGGTAGATGAGAGAAGGAGAAGGAGAAAGAGGAGAAGATGGAAGAGAAGAAATGAGAGGAGGTGGAGGAAGAAGGAGAAGGAATGGTAGATGAGAGAAGGAGAAAGAGAAAGAGGGGAAGAGGAAAGAGAATAGATGGAGGAGAAAAATGAGAAGAGGGAGCAGCAGGAGGACTGGTTAACAAAAGGAGAAGAAGGAGAAAGTGAAAGAGGAGGAGAAGGGGCAGGAATAGGGATGGGGAAAGGAGGAGGAGGAGGAGGAGTAAATGGCCCTTTAGGAAGAGGAGGAAGCAGTAGCAGCAGTAGCAGCAATGGAAGAGGAGGAGAGTACTCTGTGAATTGGGGCTTCCCTTCTTCCTCTGCCTCCACCCCCAGCTTGGAGGGCACTCTTGGGTCTCCCTCAGCTGCCTCCTCCTGCCAACTCACTCATCTAGCCGGCTCTGGACCATCAAGCAAGGCAGGGGCTGGGAGGATATGTTCCCATTACTTTACTTATAAGTCAGTCCGGAGCAGGGCTTGTGTTGGGGTGGGGTGGGGATGGGGGTTGGCCTCTGCATCGCCTTTCCCACTTTCAGGCCAGGAGCCAGCCTTCCCTCTTCACCCGGGCTGGCTTTTAAAGTCGCACCGATGGTTTTAATTGTACTTAATGGCCTGTGATTCAGTGCAGCTTGCAAGCCTCCTCAGCCTAGAGAGCCATTTAGATCAAAAGCAACCTGCCTCTTTGGGGTGAGCCTTCTGACCCAGACAATCCAAATTGGGGAGGGGGATGTCTGAGCTGGTCATCAGGACCAGAGACTTTATTCCTCCGAGCTTTTGGGCTCATGCTGCAGCCCCCATCCTCTGGGAACTTCTCTTTCTCAGTTCAGTTTTGCAGCTACTACAATTGTTGGCCAAGCAGGGACAAAAAAAGGCTGGGGAAATGATGGAAGCCTGGGAAAGGAGCCCCCTGTCAGTCAACAGGAGTGCTGATTTACGAGCAGCTTGTCAGGCACTTAGGAGCCGAATTAGCAACTAAAAGCTACATACAGCAAGGTATCCTATAAATACAACACATAGAACAGCCCTGTGCGCCTAATCTGAAGAGAGAGGATGGGCCCCAGCACGAACCTGAAAGCTTGGAAGAATAAACCTTTGGTCCCAGTGACTGACCCAGGCTGGATCTTTTTCCTCTCCCTCTCCCTCTCCCTCCCTCTCCTCTCCTCTCCCTCCCTCTCCCTCTCCCTTCCTCTCCTCTCCTCTCCTTCTCCCTTCCTCTCCTCTCCCTCTCCCTCCCTCTCCTCTCCTTCTCCCTTCCTCTCCTCTCCCTCTCCTCTCCCTTCCTCTCCTCTCCTCTCCATCTCCCTCCCTCTCCTCTCCCTCTCCCTTCCTCTCCTCTCCCTCTCCTCTCCCTCTCCCTCTCCCTCTCCCTCTCCCTCTCCTCTCAGTTTTGCATCCACAGGTGCTGCAGGACTCTGCCAATTTCCAAGAATTCCTGCCAAGTCTGATTTTAAGTGGAGGGGGGGGAGGGAGATAGTGAAGAGGGCTTGCAGATGTGGGCTCCTGTTAAAGGAGTCATAAAACCTTCTTGCTTAGAAAGCCAAGCTGGAGTGAAATGGTGCCAAAGGTCTTTGCCCAATTTTTCCGAAAGGCTAAAAGACGGGCAATTGAGCCAGCAGCCGCTTTCGGTTCTCCGTGAGTCCCGTGTCTCACTTCCCTGCGGAGAAGACACATTTTGGGAAACGGCTCTGCCGTTTCTACTTAACAAAATATCAGGGTGGGTAACAGGCAACCCTTCAAACTCATTTGCAACACCCAGAAGTTGTCCCTTTTCTCCTTGGATCTGGGAGAAAGTCGTTAAAAAAATACACACACACACAATTTCCTCCAGATGGATTGAAGGCACAGAAATGCAGACATAAATAAATCCATCCAAACTAAACAACTTTACAGCCAAAGGAAGCAGCTCTAAATAGTAGGGGGTGGTGGTGGTGGTGGAAACAACTGAAAACAAAAAAAACAACAAAACCAAAATAACCTTTTGCCGAACACGATTGCAACCCTATAATGTAACCGCCCCAAATTAATAATGTTTAAAGTTGAGGTCTTAGCTCAGCCTGGTCAAAGCCTGGCTCTGTACAGCATAGCTAAACTAAAGACACTCTGTGTATGTTTAGAAGACTCTGTAGGTTTTATATCGGTGTTTTTCAACCTTGGCAACTTTAAGATGGGTGGGCTTTAGCTCCCCAGAATTCCCCAGCCAACAAATCCTATCTGAAACATTAGGAGGCTGGAACATTTTTTGTTCTTGAGACCTTTCTCTAATCTTTAACAAGTTAGTTAACAAGTCTGGAAGGGTTTAATAGAATAACATTTCTCCTCCCTCCCTCCTTCCCTTCTCTCCTTCTCTCCTTCTTCCTTTCCTTTCCTTTCCTTTCCTTTCCCTTCCTTTCCCTTCCCTTCCCTTCCTTTCCTTTCCTTTCCCTTCCTTTCTTTTCTTTTCTTTTCTTTTCCTTTCCTTTCCTTTCCTTTCCTTTCCTTTCCTTTCCTCTTTCCTTTCCTTTCCCTTCTTTCCTTTCCTTTCCTTTCCTTTCCTTCCCTTTCCTCTTTCCTTCCCTTTCCTTCCCTTTCCTTCCCTTCCCTTCCCTTCCCTTCCCTTTCCTTTCCTCTTTCCTTTCCTTTCCTTTCCTTTCCTCTTTCCCCCAGCAAGGCTGGCTGGGGAATTCTGGGCGTTGAACTCCACCCATCTTCCAGTTGCCAAGGCTGAAAAGCACCATTTTGTATTAAAGAGGAATTGTTCTTTGCCACATTTCAACCTGCGGAGCACTATCAAAACCCAAACAAACATACTTGAGTGAACCCCTTTGAAAAGTAAAGTGTCTTCAATAAACACCCAACTCCCTTCTTAGTCAGGAGAGGCCACTTTTACATCCACGTGGAAACGGCCTCAGCACTTCCACGCATTTCTTGCTGGGAAAAGCTACTGATGAATCAGAAGCCGAGGAGAGGAGAGACCTAAGTGCTCTTTTGGCTGCTAACTCTCCCTCCAGCTTCCTGGCCCAAATCTCTCAAAGGCCATCACACGCCATTCCTCCCTCTCAGCATCTTCTCCCTTCCCCGCGGAGTTTCGCTCTTACCTTTTAGACAGGAGACGCTCAGGCCCATGGTTTCATCCTTTTAGCTGGGGGTGGGTGGGGTGGACACAAGTCAGAGGCTGAAAGATCCGCCGCTGCAGCTGCTTAGCTTCATGGAGGCTGAAAGGAGAGGTTTGTGGTAGTTTGTCAAGTCTGCAAACAAAGGCAACTTGCACGGCTTTCCAAACAATCCTCCATCTCAAGGCACTGTGTAAACTCAGCTGCCATTAAAAAGGACAAAACCAAAACAAACCCTGTCGAAAACATTAGGAGGCCAAATCTTCTTTTGTTGAAACCTTTCTCCAGTCTTTAACCAGTTAGTTAACCAAGCGTGGAAGGGTCCAATAGAAGAGAATTTTTCTTTTTCTTTCTTTCTTTCTTTCTTTCTTTCTTTCTTTCTTTCTTTCTTTCTTTCCTTCCTTCCTTCCTTCCTTCCTTCCATTCCTTCCTTCCTTCCCTTCCTTTCTTTCCTTCCTTCCCTTCTTTTCTTTCCTTCCTTCCTTCCCTTCCTTTCATTCCTTTCCTTCCTTTCTTTCTTTCCTTCCTTCCTTCCTTCCCTTTCTTTCTTTCCTTCCTTCCTTCCTTCCTTCCTTCCCTCTCTCAAACCTCTCCTCTCTCATACTCACTCGGGGAGAGAGTTTTATAGAAAAGAAGCAGGCTGGGAGAAACGGCAAGGACTTCTCAAAAGAGCTGTAGGATATTTTGTTAATGACACCAGATTAGACCTACAGGTTAGACCTTCTCTGGGTCTGTCTAGGAACATGATGGCTGGAGAACCGGGTGTGGGGTCTCTGTGTGTAATATAACCCAGGAGCTTTCTATATTTTTTTTAAGGCAAAAGCACCTGTTGGTATCCCTGATCCAGAGGCTTGTGATGGAGGATTCACTGGGGATCAATGAAGCACCTGCAGGGAACCCATCACGCTGTTGAAGAACCTGAGTTTAACATATAGAGTGGAATCAACGGAGGCAGGGGCCCCATTCAGACATAGCTGTCAATTGTTCCTCCACCACCAGTTTGTGGCCAGCTTATCTTGAGCACAAGAAGAATCTAGCAGAAAGTGTTTCCATGACTGTAACCTTCCTTGGACAGGGAAGCAAGTGGACCTTATCAATACAAACAAGAGGGAGACACTCTGCCTTCATCAGGCTTCAGTTTAATCATTAACTTCTGATCAGCTCCTGGAACCCAGCAGGGCTACCACCACCAGATGCTATAAAAAGCGGATTCCCGGGTGTGATATGACTCGGATATTCCATCTGTGGCCGGTTGGGATCCATGGGAAGGAATCTAGCTTCAATCCTTCCCTGGTCTCGGTTTAAAGGAAAGATTCCAAGATATGCCAGCCATTCAGCAGAAGGAGGTTAGGGTGGAACAGGGAAACATTTATTTGTGGGGCAGAAAAGATCGAAGTCGGACACCTTGCCAGAAATGTCCGCCGCTCAAAGAACAGTCCTGTAGATGTTTGAGAGGGCCCTACTTTGCATCAAATAAGCAGTGGTGGCGAACCTATGGCACGCGTGCCAGAGGCGGCACTCGGAGCCCTTTCTGTGGGCACACGTGCTGTCACCCCAGCCCCGCCTCCCCCACGTCCCCCTCCTCCCCAGCAGCCCCCCCGGAGGAGAGTCGCCCCTGGGCACGGCCCGCATGGAGCAGCGCAGCCAAGGACATGGCAGCCGGGCAGCAGGGAGAAGACCCCGCCCTTGCGCCCCATCGTGCACAGATGATGTTGCAGGGTGCGGGTGGAGGGCGTGGCCGCCATGGCGCTGCAGGGCCGCCTGGGCGATCTGCGGTGGGCCATGGAAGCACTGGGTGGCCCTACGTGCGGGTGGGGCAGGGGGTGGGTGGGGGCAGAGCAGGCAGGGTGGGAGGCGGAGCGGAGGTGGTGGGGGCAGGTTTTGGGCACTCGGTCTCTAAAAGGTTTGCCATCACTGAAATAGAGCAATTCTCCCATGCTGTTCTCTCAGGCCAGTAGTGGCAAACCTATGGCACGGGTGCCAGAGGCGGCACTCGGAGCCTTCTCTGTGGGCACGCGCACCATTGCCCCAGCCTCGCCTCCCCCTGCGACCCCCTCCTCTCCAGCAGCCCCCCTGAAGGAGAGTCGCCCCTGAGCGTGGCCCACACGGAGCAGCGCAGCCAAGGACACGGCAGCCAGGCAGCGTAGACAAGACTAGGCCCTCACGCCCCATCATGCACAGTTGATGCTGCAGGGCGTGGGCAGAGGGCATGACCGCCATAGTGTGGCAGGCCCTGGAGACGGTGAGTGGCCTTGCGGGCAGGCGGGGCAGGGGGGTGGGGCAAGGGCGGGGCAGGGGGTGGAGTGGTTTCTGAGACCTCTACTCTTTCAAGCCCCCAAATTTAGGGCTTGGGGGATTTTTTGGGCACTGGGGGGGGTCTGGAAAAGGAGTTCAGGGGCAAGATGACTCCCTTACATTTTGTAGAGGCATAAAATATCACTTTTCCCAAAGTTAAAAACCCCTGAAGCTCCTTTCAAAATGGGCTTTGTCCCCATCTAAGTTGGAAATATAACATTATTCTCCCCAACGTCCCAAGAAATTTGGAGTACCTGTGAGCTGGTAGGAATGGTGTCACTCTGATTTAGGTGCAACAACAAGACTTTTTGGGTGGGGTGGAGGGGTGGGGTGGGGGGTAGAATGGGGGCAGCTTAACTCCATATCTCTAGATTCTGAATTGCTTCATTTTTAAAGAATTCAACTTTTGCACATAGGAAAAATAATGCTACTTGAAGACAGGATTTAAAAACCCATCTTGGCTTGCTTGTATCTAATTTGTTTTCAACCCTTAATGAGAATTGAACAAATGTGAATGCTCAGGTTTGAAAAGACATTTCAACAATCGGGTGACAAGTTCCCTCCCCCCCAAAGGATTTGATGTTCCCACTTCTTCACACAATGTTTGCCTGAAACAGAATCTGGGTATTATTTATAGCGGGCACGTTGACTGTGCCAGGAGAGTGGAAGAAATTGCAAATGGAAAGTGCAAACAGTCAGTATACATCCACCCAAAATGTGAAACCAGATGTTGCTGAACATCCCAGTGGCCCCCACCAGCCTGGCAGGGGATGAATTTCAGCAACAGCTGGGAAGTTTCATGTTTCTTTCTCCTGATATAGACCAGGCCAAGGAGCTGCATATCTGGGGACAAACTGATTATTTGCAGCTGAAAATCCCAGGACACAGGGTATTAATAGTACCAACAGAAGAGAATATGTGTAGCTCAAGGTTGAATTGTGGGGTCCTTGGTGGTCTCTGAGCTTGGTGGTTTTCTTGCAGAGGTTTCATTATCCAAACTAGGTAATGTCATCAGTGCTAGAAAACAGCCGAATTTGTGAAGAGGAGAAGTAGAGAGAAGGAGAGGGAGAAGGAGAAGGAGAAGAAGAGAGGAGGAGGAGGAGGAGGGGAAGGAGGAAGAATAGGGAGAAGGAGTAGAGAGAAGGAGAGGGAGAATAAGAAAGAAGGAGGAGGAGGAAGAGTAGAGAGAAGGCGTAGAGAGGAGAGGGAGAAGGAAAAGGAGAAGAGGAGGATGAGGAAAAGTAGGGAGAAGGAGTAGAGAGAAGGAGAGGAAGAAGAAGAAGAAGAAAGAAGGAGGAGGAGGAGGAGGAGGAGGAGGAAGAAGAGGAGGAGACTGTGAGATCCTTGGTGCTCTCTGAGCTTAATTGTTTCCTTGTAGACATTTCATGGCCCAACTAGCGAACATCTAGCTAGCACTAAGGATTCCACAGAAAGAGAAACCCAGATAAGCATGGGTTAAAACCAGACAAACAATCAAGCAGAAAACAATACCTTAATCAAGAAACTACGAAGAAAAAAACACATTCCCACGAATACTGGCAGGGCAAGACACTTGTATATAAGCAGAGAGACAAGTCCCATTCCCTTGTAGCACTGATGACGTTACCAAGTTGGGTAATGAAACAAAAATCTGCAAAAAAGCAAGCTCAGAGAGTACCAAGCACCCCACAGTATCACTAGCATTGAGGCTGGGGTTCCCTGTTCAAAGAAGTTTGTTTTTTTGGCACTGTTGGAAACGAGCCAATTTGCAACCAATTTGCAAACAAGCTGGTGAATTTTTCGTTGGCTCAACTTCACAAACATTTCAACTCCTAGCACGACTACTACCAGTTGTGACAAAGACAGAGGGGTCAAAGATTGCGCCTCCAGTGTAGCCATCACCAGTGACTGGATTCATCCCATGCACCAAACCACCATTTTGTGGCTTAAAATGTTATCTTAATCCATCTCCTGGGGTCTGTAACCCATGATTTATGGCTTGGTATGTTATATGATCCTACTCATCTGTGGTTTATTCCACAAGCCCCAGTTGAACAAAATGTGGCTTATTTTAGGGGAACAAGGCCAACGATTAAATGTCTAGAGGATGCCAAGGAGTATCTAAGTACAATTGGAAAATCTCACTGAATTTTAGAAAGATAGCAGAGGGCACAGTTCCAGGAGAAGAAACTGGATTCCTATTTGGTGCTCAATTGTGAGTGGAGAGATCAAGAAAATTGGACTATTTTCCTGGCTGAGCAGAGGAGAAAAATGGATGTTAATACATCCAGAGGACACCCCAATCTTTGCACAACCTGGTTCTTTAACAGTTTCCACCCCCCTGATTATTAACTTCCAGAGATGTTCTCCCCATCCCTCTGCAGGGATTTCTTAGGCTATTATTTCTTAGGATGTGTGTCCTCCTAGTTCAGGGGTGTCCAACACTGGCAAGCTTTAAGACCTGTAGACTTCAACTCCCAGAATGCCCCAGCCAAGATGGCTGACTAGGGTATTCTGGGAGTTGAAGTCCACACATCTGGCTGTCCACTCATTCTGGAGCTGAAGTCCACAAGACTTGCCAAGTTGCCAAGGCCGGGGACCCTGTTCTTCTCCAGCTTGGTCCGGCTATCTATAGCTGCCTATCAGCGCCCCAGACGGAGCCAACTCCCTTCCTTTGAGAGGCCACAAGAGGAAGGAAAGTTTAGAGCGATGGTTTCTAAAGAAAGCAGAACCGGAGGCGTCTAGCTGGCTGATCGCACCCTCCCTGGATCGAAATCCACGGTCGCTGAGGTGGAAACACCTTTCACCTACTCCTCACGCAAGACAGCAAATCGTTTCTTGGCAGTGCCCAGCAATCGATGGGAAATCAATGCGCATCAAATGGCTGAAAAAGTTCTCCAAGAGAGCCGTCGGAGAGCACAACCGTGCTTGCCCCCAGCCCTCCGGAGATTGCTGGACTACAGTTCCCAGCATTCCCAGCCCCACAGGGCCACGGTAACAAATGCTAGACCCCAGCAACCTTTCCAGCAACCTGGAAAGAAGGAGAGGAATGAAGAACTCCCCTTTCCCCCCCCCGCCCCCGCTCCAGGTGCTTCTCTCGCCCAACCAGGGGGAAACTTCTGAAAAGTTAGGGAGGGGGTGCGGCTGCCTGCGCCCCCCCCAACCCACTTCTTCCCTCCGCGATTCAGCTGAAGACCGAGCAACAGCTGGAAGCGTGCCGGAAAGGAAGCGCCTCCACGGGTGCCAACTTTTGTGCCTCGCCCAGATGTTCAGCTCCTCCGCCCTCATCTCCGCTCGGCTCTCGGGGGGCTAGTCCCGGCCTGGGCGGCGGGGGGGGGAGGAGGGCTTGCAACCCCCCACGAATGATTTGGCAGGGCACGGGTGGGTCTCCCACGGTGGTTTAAGGCTCCTGCCACACTTTTGAGCCGGCCCCGCTTAGGGCCACGCGCCTCCCACACACACACACACACCCCGGTTTGATGCAGCCCGTTCCCCTCCCTCCCACTCGGGACCCCTGCCCACCCCCGCAAATGCCCTGATGCTCGCGATCCCCAGGCCGGGGAGCAGCTCGGCCAGCCGGGAAAGGCGGAGAGGGGCGCGCGCGGGGCAGGGAGAAGTGGATGGGGGGGTGGTGGGGGAGGCGATGCATGCAGCATGCTGCATGCAGCACGGAGCATGCACCACGCCCCCCCATCGCCCCGGTGCAGCGCAGGCGAAGGGAGCCCCGCCGACCCCCTTCGCCACCACCACCCGCCCCCCCTGCTAGGTCCGGGCCGGACAGAGCAGAGGCACTCACCCGCTCGCGCGAAGTCCCAGCCGCTGGCATCGCTGCGCGCCCAGCGCAGCAGCCGCCCGAGAGGCAGGGCCAGGGCGATTTGCATACGCGTGGCTGGGGGGGGGTGGGGGGAGACGAGGAGGGGACGGGCCATCTCCGTGGACAGGCGTGTCCAGCTTCCCCCCCCCTCCCAGGGCCGCAGGAGAACGGAGGGAGGGTCGGGCGCGCTGCCGGTGCTGCGTCTCGCTTCTGGCCCGGTGCGGGGCTGCGGCTGGGGTAGGGGGGAACTGGCGAGGTCCCCGGGGAGAATGGGGGGGGATCCTAGCATTCCTGGGGGGTGGGGAAGGAAGCCAGGGGCCTGGAGGAGGGGGGCGGGAGTCAGAAAGCCCGGGTGGGGAAGCTGCTGCAGCTTTTCCTGCTGCAACGAGAAGCGGCCACCGGCTTTTCCACCCGCAGGTGGGTGCTGTAATGGAGGGAGACCCTCCCAAATGGGGGCCAGGCGACGGGAGTTGGGGGTCCGATCGCCCCTGCCCCTCTGCACGTGCGCGGTTCCCTCCCGACCTCTCCACGCTTAATCCCTTGGCCTCCATCCTTGCTCCTGGGCGAGAGGCTTTCCTTCTCGTAGGGGCGCGTTCCTCAAGGAAGCCCCCTTGGCGAACACCCTTTGGGTGGGTGGGTGGGTTCGTGCAAAGATCCAGAAGCCGCGAGGGACCGGCGCTTTCCAATAATGCGGAAAGGAAAACGGGATGTACTCACCCGGCTGGCGCAAGCCCCTTAACACGCTGGCTGTGATTCTCCAACAAGTTTGGTTCCTAGGCTCCCCACCACCTCCCAGATTAGAGGGGGAGGGGGAGAGAACTTTCCTGAAGCTATGGAAAACGAACAAAGACCCCCCCACCCCCCACCCCAAGCAGAAGCCTGCAGGAGACCTGCCCTCTCAGGCTGCATCTTGGGGGCATGCCAGGTTGGGCGGCTGCCTGCAAGAACGGGAGCCCAGCAAGGAAAGGTTTAAAGCCGGGGTGTCCAACCTTGGTCGGTCCCTTTAAGACTAATGGACTTCAACTCCCAGAATTCCTCAGCCGGCAACCATAGGTGCCCACGAAGGCCCTGAGAGTTGACTTTAGCTCAAAGGAGATCCCTGCCCATCCCCACCTTGGTCAGAGTGAAGGAGCAGGAGAGTTAAGATTAAAAGCTGGTTATGGAAAGCTCCCTCTGATCCTCTCCAGAGCCAGAGGCACCGATGGCCTGTCTTGTGCATCACAAGGCTGTTTGTTAAACCAGGATCTGTGGAATCAGCCACAACTTGATGAGGCCGCCCACAACTTACAATCCTGAGATTGTCGCAGTGTCCCAGGGTCCTGTGATCCCCTTTTGCGACCTTCTGACGAGCAAAGTTGATGAGGAAGCCGGATTCCTTTAAACAACCCGTTGTTACTAACTTAACAACTTCAGCTAGTCATTTAACCAATGTGGCAAGAAAAGTCGCAAAAAGGAGCAAAACCCGCTTAACAAATTTCTCACTTAACAATGTAAATTTTGGGCACAATTGTGGTGGTAAGTGGAGGACCGTCTGTAGTTTATAACAGGGGTCTGCAACTTTGACAACTTTTAAGACTCGTGGACTTCAGTTGTCAAGGTGGCAGACCCCTGACTGAGAAATGCTCTCAGCATTTGTTTCTAGCTGAAAATCAAGCTAAAAGCAAAGCTGTCCAAGGTGGAAAATGTTTTTCGGTTGACAATATACCCTGTAAAATTTTCCATGTGCCTCAGAGACACCTATTCATCATTTGGCATTGCTACAAGTCTTCAGATCATTATAGAGAAAGCAGGGAAGCTCAGCCAGCTAACTCAGGGCCAGTGTTTTAGGCAACTCAAACACTCTTTCCAGAGAGTACAGGTTTTAAAAGCAGCCACTGCACGTAAGGTACATTTAATTAGAAGACTCTCTTCTGCTTTGCAACACAGCCTCAACCTCCAGCCAGGAAAATTCCTCCATGCCTTGCAATTCTCTCCTAAGGACAACTTTAGCCTAGCAAACAACACATCACATCTTCTTACAAAATGAGGTTTGTTTCATCAGCTTTATTTTCAAGGGAATGAAGGAAAGAAAGCAATAGAAAAGCCCAAATGGATACTTTTTGAGATACAGAATATGCCATAAATAAAAGGTCGCCTTAGTGCAGGATCAGTCAAGTGGAAGAAACAAAACAAAACAAAAACAGACCTGTAAAACAACACAAGGATGAACACACCCGTGCTAAAAGTTAAAAAAAGAAAGAGGAAAAAAATACCAAAGTGACACAGGTTGTATTGTTTTAAAGACTCTTTTACACTTTACACCACAAAACCATATTATAAGCCGGATCCAAACAGCTCAACAGGAAACCCCAAGTGTTAAGACGCCATAACATTTGCTTGCAAGGAACGAGCATGACAACAAACAGGAAGGCCAGCGCTGAACGATCAACAGTTGTGCTCTTCCACACTTACTTTCACTAGACAGGTGACAGGAGATGTGTCCATCAATATGTGTGCGTGCTGTGGAAAGTAGGGGGACCAGCACCTCGAGGGAAGACTGGAATCCATTTGGAGTGCGCTGATTTTGAAAAGGGTGGCACATTCTTCTCCTTTGTGTGCAAAGAACAAAAGTTTGTGCTGAATCGCAGCTGGTGATTCTTTCCGGACTTGGAAAAACCTGGTCTCTGAACACCTGAATAACGAATCCGAACTTGGAGGGCTGGGAACAGAATTGGCAAATCAGAGGAGTGTGTGTTTCAAATGCACAACTCACAGCTGTCAGAGCCCCTTTCCTGACAGAGCAACACAAAAGGGGAGTGCTGGATTAGAGGCTACTCCGTCAGAATTGTTTCAGGAACTGGAATGCACGGCTGTAACTTCTCTTCCTCTGTTTGTGCAATTAAACATCAAAGAAATTACTTTTCTCTCTCTCCAGATGCAAGAATTGAGAAAACTATTTTGCTTTTTTTGCGGTAAACAAAAACACATATTTATAATTCACTCGGCCGTTTGGTCTATACTGAATTCACGGAAGGGGTTCGCTGTTCAACTTCAACACTCAAAACTGGAGAGTCAGAAAAATTGCAGCATTCCCGAATAAGGAAAGAAACTTGGCAGCTCCTGGGGATCTACAGTATCTCAAGTTGTTTTCTCCCTGCACAATCTACCCATCAACTTCAACCAGGTCCAGAAGTCAGCCCTTGGAATAAGAAATTCCAAACTGACCAGACCACGTAAAGCTCAGCAATTTATTTAGATGCAGATTCTTTAAAAATAAAACTAGCTGTTAACTCTCTGAGATATTTCACAAATCTGTTTTTTTTAAATTATCTCTAAAGGATATGAAAAGTTAAGTCAAAACTTTTTAATACGAACGATTTGGAACAAGTAGATCTAGTTGGAGGGTCGCAAGAACGCATCAGCAGGAGGACACCAGGGCAACGGACGGAAAAAGGCTTCAAAACAGGGTGGATGTCCCAAAGATTCTCATTAAAAAGACTTGACTGCATAGCAACACATCCTTCCCTAAGTGATGGGACTCACTCGCCTGAAGGAACCATCACCTTTCTATTTACATTTGAAAATTAATGCTCTTTTTTTGTTTTGTTCAGCACAGTGAAAACCCCAGCACGTCAAGTCAGTGGGAATCTTCTCAGCAGAGGTGCAAAACAGCCTTATTGATCTCTGGGTTTGTCCAGTCATTCCGAATGTCATCCAAGTGGTTGTCAAAATCCACTAGTGTTTCATAGGACCGGCTGTCCAAAAGGGATTCGGAGATCCTTTGGGCTTCTGTCCAATCCTCACAATAATCACTAGTGAGGAAGAGAAGGGAGAAATAAAAGACCACGTTCGAAGGAACAACAGTGCTGAAAAAAGTGACTTATAACCAGTCCTCACATTTACAACGCTTACTGCGTCCCGGGGTCACGTGACTGCCATTGGCAGCTTTGCCAGGGAGCTTTCAACAAACCAAGTGAAGGGGGGGGGGGAAGCCAGAACAACCACGTGATTTGCTTAATGACCATAGCAAAAAGGTTGTAAAATGACCCATTTAATGACTGATGGAAGATCCAGTCTCAATTGTGGTCGTTTTTAACGTCAATCCTTTTGTTTTGTGCTTTTTGAAATAGCCCGGAAGGAAAATACTACGTAAAAGAATTGCAAAAAGCGTTCGTTTTTCAGACAGGAAAGTTTATTTTAAGAATACTCACATGTGTGGGTCTCTGCATCTCCATTTATTTTCATGGTGTTCATACACATGAACTGCTGGTTTTAGGCACTTCATTGTAAATTTAGTGTTATCCACCTGATGCAGAACAGAAAAACAAGGCTTTATTTGTGTTATCCCAATACCTTAAAATGGAATGTGTGAACACTAAAGTATCTAGCTTATTGCTATTCAGGGATCTGTACACGCAACATAAGGTTAATATAGGAATAAGGCACCTTGCTCTCATTTCCAAAACAATTTTCAGGACAGGCTGTCCATTCTCAACAGAAATGACCATCCTCCACCTTATATCGAAACAGCATGAAATAAATAAATAGATTTTAACTGCTTTCAATTGCTTCAACAGGAGTGCTCATTTGAAAGTAAAAAAAACCTTGGTTGAAATCTTGGCTTATCAACTTTAATTTTTCCCCTGATACATATTGTAAGGTCAGAGAGAGTTTACAGTTGCCAGCCCCCTCTGTTGTTAAATAACTCTGGAAGCAAGTTGCTAAAGAAATTGGCCATGAAATAAATATTAAACTAAGAAAAAAAAAAAAGCATGTCCACCATTATGAGGGCTGTATCACTGAAGTTTTCTGCAATCCTGGAGGCGACTTTTTCAGCAAGCAGGTTTGGACTGCAAAGTAAAGAGAGGAGAACTTGATCAGATAGCATGTAACAAGCCATTAAAGGGATGAAGAATCAATTTCAGAAATAATATTAATCTCATCAATAGCAGATATGAATAATTCTCAACCCAAACTAAAAACAGAAATTTCCTGTAATCTCCTCTTACTATTCTTTAGAGCAGGGGTCTCCAAACCTAGCCACTTTTTAAGACTTGTGGACTTCAACTCCTAGAATTCCTCAGCCAGCCATGCTAGCTGGAGAATTCTGGGAGTTAAAGTCCATAGGTTTTATAGTGGACTTATAGTTTAGAGTAGTAAGCCTGTTTCTCCAATTGCTTAACTGCTGTAATGCAAAGCATGGACAACTCGGAAGAAATTGGGAAGGAAATTGCTACAAAAGACGAATTAAGTCAAGGATAAGGAAGATAAATCCAGCTACCCACCTGGCATCCTTCACACGTTCATTTGCTTGGTAGTAGCCAGCTATTACATAGCTGTTCTCTCGGCACCAAGAATCAATCTGAAACGATCATTAAAAAAAATTATAAGCACCCAAAGACAATAAAGGCAGAGACTAAAATAGTGGATGTTTGCAACGGGCAATTTTATTGAAATCGCAACCCGATTACCCATTTTCTTGAGAGTTATTTCACACTGACACTCATCATTGATTGACACCCATCATCAGGACATGCTAAAAGCTGCTGCAACAAAGGAGAAGATGAAATATAACTGGCAATTGGTTTTCACCGGCCAGATATCTGAAAAGGCATGCTCCGTATACAAAGCATGATCTCGTTAAGCTTCTTAGGCAGGACTTGAAGTTTATGGCAAATTCTATTATAACCTTTGTTTTGCTAATGATAATTAGCTACTGCAGTGGACAGAAAGCTCACAGATTTTACAAATGTGTTTTCTAAATTAGCAGCTCTAAGGAAACATATAGTGTACTGAAAGGTGCAACAAATGTGGGATTTTGATGTTCATCTTTTTCCCAAGAATGCCATAGGATGTCAACTTCTGTTTGCTATCTTGCTATCAGGGGAGTGGACAGAGAGACCGAGGATCAAATACCATGTCTGCCATGATAGGCCCATTTATTTTTGCTCACATAGTTTGCCATCTGTAAAATGCCCAGAGATCCAGCACATCAGAGAGTGATTGTAAGGAAAAGTAAAGCAGATACCACGAATGAAATTTCCAGGTGAAAAATACTCTGAGTTGGCTATATCAGGGATCTCCAAACTTGGCCACTTTAAGACTTGTGGTCTTCATCTCCCAGAATTCCCCAGCCAGTTGTGAACCAAGTCTTAAAGTGGCCAAGCTTGGAGACCCCTGAGCTATAGGGACCGTGTTTTTCTTAGCCATCCTCAGTTCTCTGCTGCTGGCCTAGGGATTCTGACTAGGAAATTCAAAAATGAAATAAAAGCAACCCACAGGGGAAGAGAATCCTTCTTTTTCAGTGAGTCACTGATGCTCTCTGCGCTTGATGGCTTTCTTCCACTGTGCACTGATGATATTACTTAGTTGGGTCATGAAACATCTGCAAGAAAACACCAAGATCAGAGAGCACCATGGACACCCTGCTCAATTCAACCTTGAGCTACAAGTATTCTCTTTTATTGGTACCTTCTTCTTCAACCTCTGATCATTTCCATGGAAAATGATCTAAGGGAGGAACGGAGCAACACAAAGAGAAAGAGGCAGATGGCAAAGCAAGAACAAAGGAATCCCTCCCTCCGCTCCCCTCTCTAATTCCTTCAACAATATTGAGGTGGGGTCAGCACAGGCCGAACTTTGGGGGGGGGGAGGAGAAAGTGGTTTATTAATTCCATCCTGAGGGGCCCAAAACGGCTGACAGCTAGGACTGCAAGCTTTAAGGAAGCCCTGGCAGTTAAGATCTGGAGATAAGCCTCAAATAGTATCTTCTTCCTCCCAAAAGGCACTTTAATTATACGGTCAGCCTTTGTATAAAACCCTTATTCTATCATAATGTACTGTATCATCTAATCTGCCATAAAGCTTTATTAAAATACTTAGGAAGAATTAAATGTTAGGAGGCACAATCTGATCTGAATGCATTTATCCAAAGTCAGATTCTGGCCCCGCTTGATAGCTTTGAAGCCACTACATTTGCTTCTCGTAATAAGTTTATCTGATTAAGATAATCTAGTGATTTAGGGAAGCGGGAAAAGCTACCCAGCAATTATGTATATGCCAGCTATTTTTTTAAAAAAGGAAAAGAAAAAACTACCCGTTCTCCATATTTCACCTACTAAATTACTATTGCCCGTTGCATTACAGTCTTATGCTTTGTGGGCTTGGGCCAGATGGGTAGCCAAGCCTGGAAAGACAGCCAGGCCAATCGTACTTTTCCCTTCTCATTATTTCTACTGGCCATTTTCAAATAAAGCTGTCAAATCTAATTACTCAGCAGCAACAAAAAATTTCCCAAAGACAGATTGGTGTCTTGACCTTCTAAGACATAGTGCACTATCTCTAATTAAGTCTTCTCAGTCTGTCCTAAGTCCCCCTCAGCAAGCCACCCTGATTTACTAATTGATTCAGCTCTGTCCATTTCCAATTCGGCTGGAAACAGACAAATTCAATTGCTTGAATTACTCGGTATGCAGACTTCTGACACTGTCCAGGTTCTACAGTGGCTGTAAATGCAAGCCTAATTTTGCAGTGAATTTTCACGTAGACTTTGGCAAAATAACGTCTGAAAGCTTGGTGATAAAACTACAGTGTTGAACAGGAAGGCATTTGCTGGCATTTTTGTCTTCAGTGAGACTTTCAGATACAGGCAGAAAATGTCATTTTCCAAATATTTCTATCTACAGCTAACATACAAAGCCCAGCAGCATCTTGCAAGTCTCCATCTCATAACGTCCAAAGGATTTGGCCAAGATAGCAGGACGTTTCTGCAGGGACTCCCCTCCTAAAATTTCATAAAAGCTGTTTGAACAACTTTATTCTACTGGGTTTTTAAATCCTTGCTGCTTGTCTCCTCTGAGCTTTGTTGTCGGCTCGCACACATTTCATTACCCAACTAGGGAACATCATCAGTGCCACATGTGAGGTTGGCTGTCTGTTTATATACTGTATAATAGCTGGCCCTGACAGTTTTGGTGTGTGTGTGGGTGTGTGTGTGTGATTTCCTCCTTGATGATTCTCTTTCCTTCCTAGATTTTCTATTACCTCTTTTGAATGGTACGTAAATGTGATTTATCTGGGTCTGCTAATGGTTGGGGGTTTTTTTTTGGTTTTTTTTTAAGATGCTCTTCTATTTTTTTTTATTATAAAATTTTTATTAATTTTTGAAATTGAACAGCAAATACCAATATGATGCATTTACATACACAAGCAAAAAAGATAATCCTACTCAATACATTTTCGGAGACGCTCAGCAGTCCCCGCCTTGCCTCCACCCTCATTCACCTTGGTTTGTTTTGAAGACCAGAATTTGTCCCCTCCAGCAGCCATCGCTCAGAGAAGCCGGGATCAACCCCAGACAAACACCCTGGCAAAAAACGATAACTAAGGAACCTTCTGCTACGACCCCATTTCCCTGAAAATAAAACCCAACCGGAAAATAAGCCCCAGTTAAGATTGTCAGCCAGATGCATTTAGTACCATATTTCCCCAAATATAACCCCTAACTGGAAAATAAGCCCTAATCTCTCTTTTGGAGCAAAAATTAATATAAGATCCGGTCTTATTTGGGGGGGGGGGAACACAGTATTCATATGCAGATGTATACAGTGTTTCCCTGAAAATAAGCCCCAGTTAAGATCGTCGGCCAGAGGCATTTAGTACCGTGTTTCCCCAAATATAAACCCTTAACCCAGGGCTCTTCAAACCTGGCCCTTTTATGACTGGTGGACTTCAACTCCCAGAATTCCTCAGCCAGCAAAGCTGGCTGAGGAATTCTGGGAGTTGAAGTCCACCAGTCATAAAAGGGCCAGGTTTGAAGAGCCCTGCCCTAACTGGACAATAAGCCCGAATGCGTCTTTTCGCTCTCCCTCGCTCTCCTCACCAGGCTGAGCGCCACCTCCAGCATGGGCGCCAGGGCCAGGCTGCCGTGGAAGAGCGGGATGCAGTCCACCAGCAGCCCCTGAGCCGGCGACTCCCGCTCCCGTCCGCGCTGGGGCGGCGGCTGCTTCTCGGCCACCAGCAGCCCGTTGACGGCGCAGTGCGGATACTTGGCGCCGTGCAGCACCATCTTGCAGTAGGCCTGCGTGCTCAGCTTCATGGCGGCCGCCGCCGCCGCTTCTTCCTCCTTCTCCTCCTCCTCACGGGGCCTCCTGCCCGGGCCCGCCGTCGAGGGGGCGAAAAGGCCGCAAAAGCGTCGCAAAAGCCACTCGGCCGCCGTACGGGAGAGGCGCGCGCGTGCGCAGACGGGGGAAGGGAAGTGAGGGGGGAAAAGAAGAGGGAGCGCGGTCCGCTCTGGCCCGTCTCTATGGTCTCTATGGAGATAGGAGACTGCAGCTGCGACTATAGAGGGGTGCGTGCTAGAGGGGCAAAGGAGAGAGAGTTGTTTAGGTTAGGCTGGCTGGAGGGTGGAAGGAGGCAAGGAGGCGGGGCAAGTGCAACCCTTAGAGCAGGGCTCTTCAAACTTGGCCCTTTTATGACGTATGGACTTCAACTCCCAGAATTCCTCAGCCGGCGTGGCTGGCTGAGGAATTCTGGGAGTTGAAGTCCACAAGTCATAAAAGGGCCAAGTTTGAAGAGCCCTGTATTAGAGGGACTAACGCGGAACCCTGCTGGGCTGGGAATGATGGGAGTGGCAGCCCAGCAAGCACCGCGCCTGAAGCAAAGACGGGGCGAGCCGCTCTTCACGCTATAGATGGCGCCCGCTCCTTCTTCCTTCGCCTCCCTGAGTCCGCCAATATCCCGTCGTGCCTTGGATCCCCACTTCCGGCCTGCCCTGCCCCGCGTCTCCCGTCTTCTCCTTCCGTCCTCCATCTCCGGCTGTAGAGGACACGGGCCGTCTCGGGTGGGTGGCTGGCAGGCGGCTGAGACGCCCGACTCCCCGCGGGACGGGACGGGGAAGGGGCTGCGGGGACCGGGGGGGGGGGCGACGCGGGAAGGGACGGGGGGAGAGAAGTTTTCCAGGGCGCCCCGCACTACACCTCCCATCGTCCGCAGCCGAGGGCTATCTGTTGGGGCGGGGAGAGGTGGAGGGTGCCCTAAGCTTCCTCGGAGTAAGGTCCGCTTATGCGCGGGGAGGGGGCCCACTTTTTTTGGGGGGGAGGGGAAGCTACACATACAGAAACACGCGGGCTGGCCTGGCAAAGGAGGGGCAACTTTTTATTTATTCATTTAAAATAGGTTAGATAGGTGGGACAATAACACCAATAGCAACAATAAAGTAGGAGGAGGGAGCATTAGATAGGCTTGTTACCTTGAGTATGTATTTAAATAGATGATAGATAAAAAGATAATAGGTGAGAGAGACGATTGGATATATAGTTATATAGATTGATATATAGATTGATAATAGGAAAGAGACAGATAATAGGTAGAGATGATATATAGCTATACAGATTGATAGATATATAAATTGATAGATAATAGGAAGAGATGATAGGAAAGAGACATAATAGCTAGAGATTATATATAGCTATATTGATAGATATATAGATTGATAGATAAGAGATGATAGGAAAGAGACAGATAATAGGGATGATATATAGCTATATTGATAGATATATAGATTGATAGATAGATAAGAGATGATAGGAAAGACAGATAATAGGGATAATATATAGCTATATTGATAGATATATAGATTGATAGATAATAGGAAGAGATAGGAAAGAGACATAGATAATAGGTAGAGATGATATATAGCTATTTAGATTGATAGATATATAGATTGATAGATAATAGGAAGACATGATAGGAAAGAGACATAATAGGTAGAAAGAAATGATAGATAATAGGTAAGAGATGATAGGATGGATTGATGGATAGATAATAGAGATGATAGGAAAGAGACATAATAGGTAGAAATGATAGGAAAGAGACAAATAATAGGTAGAAAGCAATGATAGATAATAGGTAAGAGATGATAGGATGGATTGATGGATAGAGATAATAGGAAAGATAATAGGTAGAAATGATAGATAGATAGATAGATAGATAGATAGATAGATAGATAATAGGTAAGAGATAGGATGGATTAATGGATAGATAATAGGTAGAGTTGATAGGAAAGACTGACATAGATAATAAGTAGAAAGAGAAGACAGATAGATAATAGGTAAGAGAGTGGATAGGATAGACAGAAAAACATAGGATCATGGAGTTTAACCTGTTCCCAGGTGTTGGGATTCTAGACAATAACGTGGGCCATAACTCTACATGGGAATGAGTCTGTCTTTGCCAATCTTGATCTGAGCTCACTGGGGTTGACTTTTTAAATAGCTCTGAAACGGACTGTGGCTGTGAAGAAGTAAATTTTATGAAACTCTTTTGGACATATTTGTGAGTTAGGGTGGTTAGGATTGGTTGCATCTTGAAAATATCCCTGCAAAGCAGATTAGATAGAAATATTCCCTGGAGCGTGTGCTAAACAGAGAATCTTATATTAGGATTGAAACATTTGTTCCCCACCCTCTGTGTTCTTCGTATTGTTGCTTGGAAGATCTTTTATTATTATGGACTTCAGTCTACATTAGCATCATTTCCAAACACAACAGAAGCTCTTCTTGTGATATCTGAAAAAACAAGAAATGGCATTTGGAAGGTCGTTGCAAGTGGTGGATTCCTAGTAATTAGTGCTACATAATGTCCTACCTTTTTTTTTTTTCTTCTGTTTCAGGATGTTGGCTGCTAGGGCATTCAGCCTTATTGGCAGGCGTGTTTTGTCCACTTCTGTTTGTGCAAGAACCCATGGACATGGTAAGCTAGCCATTGAATCATCTTAACTGGTAGCTTGAAAATTGTTCTTGACTAGCCCATTTCAATTTAGGGATGCAGATTCCCTTTCTAACAGTTCTTTAAATTCTCTGTTAAGTTCTCTGTCATCTTCTCATCATATGCTAAATAATAAATAAAAATGTTATAAAATTAAAATGACAGTTTATGTATCTACCTAGAGAACTTCATGTTGACTAGGCAGCTGAGTTGATCTCAGTCTCTTTTGCAAGATCCAGTCTGGGTCAGTTCCCGTGATCAAAGGTTTAGTCCAGGGGACTTCAAACTTGGCCTTTTTATGACTTGTGGACTTCAACTCCCAGAATTCCTCAGCCAGGCACACTGGCTGAGGAATTCTGGGAGTTGAAGTCCACAAGTTATAAAAGGGCCAAGTCTGAAGACCCCTGGTTTAGTCTTTCGAGCTTTCACACTTGTGCTGGAGTCCATCCTCAAGGAACTTCTCTCTACCAACTTGGAAGACTAAACCTCTGTTCAACTTGGAAGACTAAACCTCTGGTCGTGGTGAACCAGCCCAGACTGGATCTTGCAACACTCTCCTGGGACACGTACATTTGCCCTCATCCGCCAGTCTCTCTTATCCTTTGTCTTGTCTATCATAGTGGCCTGACGGATCCAGATCTAATTTTCAAGAATTCTTCATCATGGCTTTTTCTGAAGAAATAATGAAGACTGTTGGGTTTTGGGGGTTTTTTTGGCCATGTCAAATCTTTGCAGAATAAAAACTTTGGTGCTTATTCTTCTGTTTTTATATTTCTGCCTTGCTAATGTCCTTGCCAGGTCAAGTATTAGAATAAGACGTATTTTTTATTTTTGCCAACAGAAGTTACAAAAGCACCACATTATACTCAGCCCGTATATGAGGACTACCCTCTTATTCCTTTGCCGGATATTCCGTTTATACAAGACCTGAGCGCGGAGCAAAAAGCTCTGAAAGAGAAAGAGAAGGGCTCTTGGGCCGCCCTTTCCCCGGATGAGAAGATTGCTCGTGAGTAGTACCTACAGAGGGAGAGATGTTACAAGAGAGGAAATCAAAAGAAATGAACAAAAATGACCTGGCCTATTTAAATGCAGGTAGTCCTCGAATTATGACCGTGTTGGAGTCTGCCAGTTACAGTTTTAAGTCTTGATGGTTGTAAAGCAGGTCATCACGTGACTGGCCCAATTTTATGCCCCCCCTTTTTTCCCCTGCAACAGTGGTTATTTGATTCATTGTCCAGCATGGGGTGCTTTGAACAAAAACGGGGAAAAAAACATTGATTTTCAGCAAGCATGTCAGAAATCGTAGTGATGTGATCTTGGGATGCTGTGAAGGGCCATAAAAGCGGGCCGGTTACCAAGTGCCTGTAGTCACGTGACTATAGGTGCAGGACGGTTGTCAGAATTTGGGAACTGGGTCATAAGTATCTTTGGGGTGGGGGAGGAGGCTCCGTTGTAATTTTGAACGGTCGCAAGCTGAGGACTACTTGCATGTAAATGTGTGCGTTCAGTTGTCAGCATTGGTCCGTTTACATTTTTTTTTTGAATATTTTGTACTTTGACAAAAGGTTTTTTTTTGTCCCTTCCCTCTTTCCTTCCCTCTCTGTCTCGTTCCAGTCTACCACCTCAAATTTGACAAAACATTTGCTGAAATGCTGAAGCCATCGAATAACTGGAAGACTGCGATCGGTTTAGCTGGCTACATGGTTGGCCTTGCGGCTTTCTTTTTCATTTGGGAGGTCCTATACGGTAAGTCATCCCCTTTTAGGGAGGTCTTTAAACACAGGCAGGGGGAAATCGATGGGAGCTGAATATTCAGCTTATACCCACACACACCTTTGTATTGGTGGGAGAACTTTGTCTAGTGAAAAAGGGACAACCAGGCCCTTTTAAAATAGCTTTTCACATTTTGTTTGGCTTTCTAGTTACAAGGATAGGAAGGATGATGGGGCTTAAAAAATTGAAGCCCAACAGAACTCTTATACTGGCCCTCTCCAAGCTTTTCTCTCTTTTTTCTTTTTAAATTAAATGCAAAAGAAACAAGAAGGAAGGAAGGAAGGAGAGGGAGAGATAGGGAAGGGAGGAGGGAAGAAAATGAAATCAGAGAAGGGAAGAGGAAGGGAAGAAGGAAGGAAAGGAAGGAAGGAAAAGCTAAAAGACCTCCAAACATATATTTACATCTACATGAATCTCAATAAATTGAATCCATGATTCATTACAGTCGCCCTTAGCTCATCTGCCTTAATTCTGCAGCCCCCTGAATAGTTGAAGTCATACTTTTGTCTCCAAGCATGTAAAGAGAGCTGGGCTAAGGGGTCTAGGTCAGTATGAAGATTTCGACGGCACATGAATTTGCGAACACAAGCGAGCTGCTGAATTGCCTTAACAGCCTTTTGAGAGCACAAGCTATGCCCTGATGTCCATCACTTGGGAGAGATTAGTTGTTGCTGGCTAACTCCAATTGTCACAAACCATGATCTCCTCCAATTGCAGTCCTGAAACCAGTCCCCCACACTTTATCAGAGGATTGGAAGGCCATGGAGCTCCAGAAGCATCTGGATATGAAACCGGACCCAATTACCGGCCTTTGCTCCAAGTGGGATTATGAGAAGAAAGAATGGAAAAAATAAAAGCCTTCAGGAGCCCCGACCTTCTCTCGGGGGGGTGAAAGTCTGAAACCATTTCTTCATCTCTAGGTTGTTGCCCTGCTTCTGCCTATGATGACATAGAATCCTATCCTTCCTTAAAGCATAACAATTTATGTACCTGGAAATGTTGAACTGTTCTTACAGGTTAATGTGCAGAATTGCTCCTAAACTAAATCCTGTTCGCATTTTGTTTTTGGGTTTTTTTTGCAGGAAGATTAAAAATTACAGTAAACAAAAAAGAGGCATTTGATTCTTTATTTGGTGTGGAATGATCTGTTTAAAATATTTGAAATCACCGATCTGTTGAGTTAACCAATGGTGATTGAGCCAGCGACTGTCAAAGCTTCCCTAATAGGATGGTACATTTTTCATCCGTTGTGTTCTGGCAGCCGACATAAACTAGTGATAAATTATACTACGCATTCAGAATTGGTAGTCATTTATCTGGTGGGCACGTATAATTGAGAATTGCACCCTAGTGAGTTGGGCTGCTGCACAGACAGGATTAGGCAGTTTGCTGTAATTGCAGCAATCTTGTTTAAAAAAAAAATCCGGGCAAAAGCATCCAGCTACATTTTTGGAACAGGCAATAAATAAAAACATGTTTAAGTTTGTAGGATTAGACAGTAATCCTTTGACAGTTGGACTCCTGGCTTTCTGACACTCATTCTGTAACTCTACAGGAAGGGGTTTAAGTTTGGTATCACAAAGAATTTGTATACCCCACTCTTCACTACACGACATTTTGTTTTGTTGGGACAGAGTTGATTAGAAGAGGAATCTTGGAACCGGGGATGGTTTAATAATAATAATAATAATAATAAT